GCCCGGATGTCCAAGAAGAACAGGCGCGCCGAGGATGGCGTCGACGCCGCGGGAGCGCCAGTCCCCCTCGCCGCGGCAGCGGGCAGCGCCGGGGGCGCAGGCCGCAGGCCTGGCCGCTGGCCCCGCAGGCGATGCGGGAGGAGCTGCTGCCGGCTCGGAGGTCAACGTTGTGCCGCCCTCTGGGGCCAGTCCCGAGCTTCGCACTCGCCCTCGCCGCGCCTTGGGGGACCAGCCCCCGCGGGGCAACTGAGACCCCCCGTCCAGGCCCACGGGCGGGGGCTCATGAGCACGCCACTCCGATTCAGTTCAAGTCTTCCTCGGACGGGCCTTCAGTAGGCCGAGGGTTTTGTAGAAGGGACCAGGCGGTCTCATATCGTGTAGATGTGGGCTCCAAATTTGATTTCTCACAGGTGCCACCGACGCCGTCCCGGGACCGTTTCAGCCTCATTTTTGAAACCGTGAACGCCACATCATGGGGGTCGTGTCAGGAATGGCATCGATGGGGCCCAGGCCCATGCGGTGGCCGTTCAGGAGCACCGTCTCTTTTCTTCGGAATCCTGCAACAGTGCGCAGGTCTGGTGCTTACGCAATGGTTGGAATGGGACCTTCCCCCCTGCGCACCCAAGCGTCGACGAGGGCAGCTCGGGCGGAGTGGCGATCTTAGCTCGTTTTTTCTTAAGCCTTTACCAACTGCCAAACCAAATTTCGGAAGTCGCCCCAGCTCGCGCGGTAGCTGGAGTCATCTTCCAGGGGGTCATGATCAGCAACTTGCGTTGGTTTCTACTCATTTATCTGCCACGAGGGACTCTCGAGCAGAAACGTTGACATCATGAGCGCTATCGGCAGCCTTCAAGATATCCACGCCTCCGACGTGCCGATCGCTGGAGATTTCAACACGTGCCCAGATATTCTCCTCTCTAATGGATTCACCGAGCGGCTCTCGGGGCAGCCGCTCGCGCCTGACTGCGACGGCGCGCGCCTTGCCACTGGAGGGGTGAGAATGCTCGACTTCTTTGTCGCCTCCAAGGGCTAAGCGAGGACGGTCGAGGAAGCATCGGTCGCGCGCAAATCAAGCACCACCCCTCATTTGCCAGCGCGGCTTGCTCTTCGCGAGCGCGCTGCTTCCCTGGAGGCCCTGGTGTTCGACAAGCCCCCCCCCCCCCATCCCTGCGGTTCGCCCCATCGGCCCTGCGAAGAAGCCCCCATCTTGGAAACAAGTGGAGATTTTTGGCAGAGATGTGCTGCCCAGACTTGCTCCTGGCCCGTCGACCCAGGGCCTCCCTGGGGCCCTTGCGAATTTGAACCGCATGTGGAGTAAGCTTGCCGAGTGCGAAGTCGCTGAGATGACCCCTACTAAGCTCCCACGATACGGCGCTAGAAGTCGCCCCCCCGGTTGAAATGGGCCCCCGTCTCCCGAGCGAAACCCAGAGAAGTTGTTCACCCTGCCCTCTTCGAAATCAAATGGTTGGCCAAGGCGTTCCGGGTGGGGAAGCACCAAGATTGGCCCCCCTGAAAGCCAGCTGCGCGCCTCCCTTCGTGGAAGCCCTCCGGGGGGCATTCCAAAGTTTCTTTCGGCTCATGCTACCCTTTCGCAGAGGTGCCAGAGGAGCGCGGGCCCGCGCTATCCTAATCCTCACGTCTTGCCCAATGAGCATTCGAAATGGCATGTCAGAACGGGCCCAGCGAGTCAAGCTGGCGCCGCAAAGGCTGGGGCGCAGCCCTATGCCGACCCTCGTAGTGAAATCGACTTCGAGGCAGCTGAGTGCGACGACACCGAGCTGCTCGAGGACATCTCCCAGGCTTTGCAAGCGGAGCAGGTTGCTGCAAGGAGCCAGGCCAGTCGTTGACCAGCATCGAGAAGGGGGGAGACGCGCCCACGTCGCCAGGAAGCCCGTGGCGGGCTTGAAGGGGGCGACTACCCTGTCTTCCGCGGGGAGCGTGATATCGGACCCCCAGGCGTCGTTGACATCCCAAGCCGCTTTGTTTTCGGGCACCTGGGAGGCCGCGCCCCAGGCCTTGGGCGTTAATTCCAAGACCATCCAAGAACACCTCCCCCCCTTAGCGCTGGCTTCACTAGAAAAGTCTCAAGGAAAACTCCACGAGGACTGCCTGTGCCCTGAATGGATTCCACATGAGACACTATTCTTGGATGTCAGACCACTGCCTCGATATAGCCCCCGTCATGCTACACATTATGGAATCCATCATGCGCGTGCCTCTGCAGCCCCAGGTTGTGCAGGTCATCCTGCTGATGAAGCCGCGCGGCGGCCGCCGCCTCATCGGTCTTTTTCTGCTCGTTATACCGCCTCCGGGGGAGATGCCGTCGAGTCCACGCCCGGCAACGGGGTTCTTTTTGACAGGGCAAGCCTTCTCGGGGGCAAGCCTTCTCGGGGGCCACGGATGTCGTCTGGCGCCAAATGGCGAGGTTCGAGGCGGCCAACTCCAGGGGGGAAGTTCCTGCGGCCTCCCTTTGGGATATGACGAAATTGTACGAAGGCATCTCCCTGGAGAGGCCTGGGGCTCACTGTGCCAAGTCCCAGTTCCCTCCTGCCCTATACAAGCTCTCTCTCTCTTTCTCTCTCTCTCTCTCTCTCTCTCTGTTTATCCCTCTCTCTCTCTGTCCTCTCTCTCTCTCTCTCTCCCTCTCTTTTCTATATATATATATATGTATATATGTATATCGTTATTTCTTTATGTCTCTCTCTCTCTCTCTCTCTTTGTCTCCCTCTCTCTCTCTCTCACTCCGCTTACCGTTCGGCCAGATCCATGAACGTGGGAAGCCTGGTGGCGGGCCCCTTCTTCTCGTGGAGAGGAAGTCTCGCAGGCTGCAGTTTCGCTGGATCGCACGTCAGAATCTACAGCGTCGACAGTTTCGACATACTTCCCCTCACCACCCAGCGCGCGAATGGATCAATGCGTCGACGACGGCGGCGTCTCCGCCACGGGCACTGTCAACCATGTCGCTGCGCGCGCGAAGCCTGTGACCGCTAGCCTCTGCAGCGTTTTCATTTCAGAGATGGAGCGCGGCATGTCGCGCGATGGGGCTGCCTTTGTTACCTCCAGCAGGGAGGTG